GAGGCGGGCGGGGCCGGCGGCGCGGAGGCGGGGTCCCGGGCGAGCCGCCCTGGGAGGCGGGGGCCGTTTCCATAGCGGCGGCAGGAGGTGTCGCGCCGGGGAACTTCCTGGTTCCCGGGCTCGGCTTCGCCGGGATCCTCTTGGAAGGGAAACAATGGGGCGGAGGGCACTGCGGTAGCCGCCGCGCCGGACCTGCTCGGCCGCCCGGGACTCCCGCTCGGCCGCCTGCCACAGCCGCCGCCGCCGCCGGGACCGTCCTGAGGTAACTTCATTTCCTCCTCTCCCGCCGCGAGTGGCCGGCGGCGGCGGTCCCCGGGCTCTCCTCCCGGGCAGGGACTCCGAGGTGGCCCCGGGGAGCCGGACGCCGCCATTCCCGGACCCGGGGGAGGTGGACGGGCTGCGGCCCCCTCCCTCAGCCCTCCAGGGGGCAGGCTGCGGAAACTTGCGCCGGGCCGTCCTGTCCCCCGCTGGAACCTTGCTGGCGGGGTTCTGCGGGCGTGATTGGCAGGTTGGTGGGGGGCGCGGGGGCGTGCGGGGGGGGGCGGGGGGGGGGAGGAGACGCGGGCGGGGGGCGCGGGGGCGTGCGGGGAGGGTCTGCAGGGGACAGGGCGGGAGGGGTCCTGGTGGCCGGGGAAGGGCGCTTGTGGAAGGGGCCGGGGTCAGCCAGAAACTCTGGGGGCGGGGAGACCCTCCGCCTCCCCCTCCCCCCGGAGCCAGTTTCGGTCCCCGGGAGACGTGTCTCCCTTGCGAGTTTCAGTCGCGTCCTCCGGAGTCCAAGTGGGCAGGACGGAGGCAAACTTCGTTCTTTGAAATTACTGCCTTCGTGCCGCAGAACTTTGTTTCGACTAGGCAAGGGGAGGATGGGGCGAGTGAGGGATCTGGAGAGCCTGGAAGTCTGTGCGCCTTTGCAAAGTTTGCACAATAGTTTGGGGCTAACAGCCGTGTGATGGTGCGGCATTGGATGCGTGAGAAGGGTGCCTCGCAGGTATTTTAATGCCAGAAAATGTGAGGCGTCTGTGCATCCCCGGGTGGACATTTCTATAAACTGAAGATTAAACTCTCCCCGCCCCCCTTTTCCCCCTCACTTTAATCCACAGATGCTTTTTAGTTCAGTAGACTTTAACATGAGTTAAGTGAGCCCCTAATGGGGCTGGGAAGGATTTTTGAATTGGAGCAATACTCAGTCATTGGGAATAATGGGACACAAATGGAAAAAAAAAAAAAAAAAGCGGAGACACAATCTTAAATATTTTACTTGCTGGAAGAAAGTCATTTCCATCCCGTCTTAATCCGTTTATAAATAGAATTAAGTCTTTGGGATACGTTTTTAATATTTCGTAGCTCAGAAAAGATGGACAGAACTTTAGAGATCTCACTGGCCAACTCCCTCATATATTGAATCTCTGGGAAGTTCTGTGAGGGGGAAGTCAGGGTACTTTTTTCTTTTGTGAAGTCATCTTCATAAGAATTAAATTAGCCTGCATCAAATGAACAGTGGTTTATTTGCTGTTATTTCTCATTCCGTCAGACCCCAAAATTAGAAAAAATATTTCGGAGTTTGCTGTTGTTGTATAATAAAGTTTGTAGACACAGTCTAGGTTATTACTTAAAATGGATGTTGATTGTATATTGTATTCTACATAGGCAATTGAAATATGTCAAAATATAAAAGAAAAAAATTATAAAAGTATAGTTTAATTTTTAAAGGAAAACTATAGTCTTAAGGTACAGGTATCTTGAGTTAACAGAAAATCCTTTGCTGATTGTGTATTTAAAGAATTAATGAGTTGTCACTAAGGTATTCAAAGAAGCATTGTTTGCCAAACATTAAGAATTTGGGCCCTGAGTCATGGGGTTGGTGCCTACTTACTGTTTGTAGCTAGCCTGTCAGACTCTGGTGTCTACACCAGTACAGTACCTGTTTCTGGTAAGGAGAGCCCACTACCAGTTATAACAGTGTTTTGACATGAAATAGCTCCTAGTGAGGACAGCTGTCATTGGTTCAAGAACCCAGTAAGTAAAAGTGTTGGCTTTGGCACCATCTGTTAATTGACTGGTCTGTTGAGAACCAAACCAGCTTCCTGGCTTGGCAGATCCAATCTGGGCCTCCAATGCCAAGCAGATGTTGCATTAGTCAGTCTTTGCAACCATGTGCAACCCTCTCTCAAGTTACTGTTACATTTTGTAGCCAGTGAAAATGGGTGAAAAAGGGGCCGGTAAATTTAATGTGGCAAATTGAAAACAAACAAAATTACTTTGGTTAAAAAGTACTAGCAATGTTAAGGCACTTTGAAGCTGGCCAAAGATTTAGCCACAAGATAAAACTTTGGGAATTGCTAGTTAGGTTAGAGAGAAAGAGATAAATGATTACATTTTCTGGTTTATGTTTGCAATTTCACTGTAACCATTCTTGTTTTGCTTTAGTGGAATGGTAATGTTGTCAACAGTACTCAAACCATTTATTACCAGAAAGTTATAGTTTGTTCCTTCGGTGTGATTTTTGAAAGGCATATTGCCTCTTTAGATATGATTTATTTGTATTTAGAGTCCCATTTGTTTTTCTTTAAAAAGTGTCTCAATTTTTACAGTGGAAGTCAATACAAAAATAATATTAATTTGAAAGGAATTTGATTTCTAGCACACTTCATTATAGTAAGTGGAGATTAGACCTGGGAATTAGTCACAAACACTTGGATTCTCAGCTGGTCTATGCCATTTCCAGGCTATATCACTTCATGCAAATAACTTAATTTTTAAAAGCTTGTTTCTTTGTAAAATTGGGGGGAATCATAAATTCAAATTTGTTTATTCAACAAATATTTTTTGAGTGCCTTCTGTATACCCCAAGATTTTGTGTTAGGTGCCTTGTTTTCAACAACAGGTGGGATAAGTCCTTTTTAAGAGAAGTACAGGGAGCTGTAAAACCTGTAACTAGGGAACCTAACTTGATTTGGAGGTGTCAGGGCAAGCTTCCCTAAGGAAGTGGCTTGTAAGACCTGAGGATGAGGAGGAGATAGTAGGTGAAAAGGGGAAGTGGGTAGGTGGGACACTCTGAGGATGAGAGAAGAGCGTGTCCACAGTCCCTGAAGAGACTGCTGTCTCACAATGAGAATGCGTGTGTATTAGTGCCCCGCCTGGCACATAAGCAACCACTGTTAGTTATATAGACAAGGCTTTTAGCACCATGCTCTAGTCACCTGAAGGAAGTGGCTCAGTTTTGTTCTGTAGCCGTTATGGAAAGGGAGTCCGTCTAGTTGAGTAACCACGCTAGGCCTGGAAGTGACTGCGAAGTTCGGTGTCTACTGTTATAACTCTGGCACAGCTTACTTGTTAGTTTCTGTAGCTGTGAAACTGGGATTAAATGTTAGATGAAAGATTCTTTGATTTCTTTACAGAGATACTATATGATATCACCGTGGCATTTTGATTTAATTTTGATAGCATTTTCTCTTGGAAGAGCTTAGACTACCTTGTTTAAAATATCTACTCCTCACAAAATGATAGTAGCAATCCACCCTAAAAGAAAAAATACTTAGTAAGTGGCAGGTCGTTTCATTTGCTTATAGGAAGATCAAGAGTGACTCTGGAGTTTCATGTCTTGTTTGCTTAAGTGTTTTTGGCTCCAAAGAGATTACTTAATTATTCTCTAATAGAGGTACACATTGCACCTGTGTCTTGCTGACATAGATATGCATGTAGAAAAAGTTATAATTTTATCCTGGAATTTTCTTTTCACTGAATTAGCAAGTGAATTAAATATTAGAGTAACCTTTTTCATGAAATAAGTGAAAGAATATCATTTTTAAGCTTCTTAATGTATTAATTTCAGTTAGTAATGTTGTATAGGTCGATAATGGCAAATTAATATTTTATTATGGAGTTAATGCAGTATTTATAAGCCACTTGGCTCTCTAGGCTTTTTGTTCCTGTTTCTTTCTGTTTGCATTTGGATATTTTAATGCTTATTAGTATCTCTGTGATAAGAAAAGATGAGATGAAATAAGATTTTGAAAAGTCAGACAATGGAAAAAATGCATAGATTTGGAGGTTAAGATTGATAAAATTTAGATCTGTGTGCTTGGACTAGATATTTCTGTGTATTTTGTTGATGCCTATTATAAAAATTAATGAATTGGCATATAATAACTCTTTCTCAATGTTTAAAAATTAAAAAAATTATTTGTCTCACCTGTTCCATGTTCCATTTTTCTCTTTCTAGCTTTATTTTGGATTATTTTTTAAAAAATAATTATTCCATTTCCTCCTTTTTTTATTAGCTTGGGATTATATATTCTTTTAGTGTTTGCCTAAAAAATTCTGATACGTATTTTTGACTTATCAAAGTGTAATATTAATTGAGACTTTCACCCTTTTTCCAGATAATGCAAGACCTTTAAAAACATGTAAGTCAATTTCCTTCCTTCTCTACCTATTTAATTGTTATCATGTTTTAAAATGCATATATATTTTTTAAACCCCAAAGATGTGTTTCTATTGTTTTATGCTGTTATTATTCAATTAGACTTATTGCATTTTCTTTTCTTTCATTCCTTCTTGCATTACTGACCTTCTATCTGGAATAATTTTCCTTCTGCCTGAAGAATATCCTTTGGTATTTTATTTAGAGTGGTTCTAGTATTGACAAATTTTCAAACTTTTTGTTTGAGAATATTTTTATTTCAACTACATTCTTGAAAGACACATTTTGCTAGGTATAGAATTCTAGATTGGAGATACTTATGTACATATATATTAGTTCTTTGGAGAAGAGATTTTTCTATAGTATTTAGCTTTGTTTCTCTTGAGGAGTCAGCTGCAGTTTATTGCTTCTGTATTGGAAATTTGTTTCTCGGGCTGTTTTTAAGATTTTCTTTTTGTCTTTGGATTTCAGATGCTTTTTGCTCTTTCTCTCTCTCCTTTTCTTTCATGGGGTATTTACCTTTTGATGCTGTGACTTGATGTCTTTCATCAGTTTTGGATAATTCTCAGTCATCATCTCATCAAATATTGCTTCTTCCCCATTCTCTTGCTCAGTCTTTCTGGGACTACAATTACATAATGTTAGATCTCACTGAATCCCCTGTGTATTTCACCTGTCCTCTTTATTTTCCATTCTTTTATTTCTCTTTTGTTCTGGATATTTTCTTCTGGCCTGTCTTCCAGTTTACTAAGTTCGTCTTCATCTCTGTCTAATCTCTTAAATGTATTCTCTGGGTTCTTAATCTTTGTTATTATATTTTTCATTCTAGAATTTCAATTTGA